ACAATGTGTGTATGCAGAATTACTCATTTTAATTAATTTAGTTGCCGTTTAATCCCTTTCAATTAAACTCCTGGTCTAATTCAATCAACTTACCAGCTCGTACTCGCACACAAATAAAGCTTCGTAACACGACTTCAAGGCCAGACCCGTTATCTTCTCGGAACACACAATGTAAACATGCACCAGACACGTAGAATTATACTATTAGAAATTCTGACAAGAAAAATTCCTTACACACACAAAACAAAACAGGCGGTCAAGAAAATTACTTTTCTTTTAAGAAAACTCATGGTTCAACATGTTCACAAAGCACTTCAAGCTTCCATAGCAGAGTCCGATGATAGCTCTCTTCGTGGTTGCAGCGCCATGATTAATCAACCTTGAAGATGGCCATCTTTGTGCTCACAAGAGTCCGCCACTGTTCCATTCTCCGGACCACCTGTTATTAATTTGAATCTTTAATATTATCCACGCCTTTGTCTCCCAAGTGTTCTCCCCTTCTGGTTTTCTAATATTTTACGGTTACGTATTTCTCATTTCCTCATGCAATGCCTATCCCGAATCTTTTATTTAACCTCGTTATTTTTAAAAATACAAACAACTAACTTCCTAGTAATTTTCTCCACATTCATGCTTTCCTCGCTCTCTTGGTCCCAAACACATGTAATCTACATTCTTTTATGTTTAGGTTTATCTGAAGAATCCATTCATTAGGTTCCTATATTTTAATTTTGCTGTTCAATTCCATTCAAAATATGCAATTCATAGTAACCTTGTTACACACATAAAACCAGCTTAATATTTTATTCCTTTACAATCAATCTGCACGGTTGACTGATACTATATTTAGTAAACACACCAAGAATGAAAGTGTTTTCTGTTGCTCAATAGTTTCTTTGAGTAGGATACAATCCTGACCCATTACAAGATTTGGTAGAAAGTATGATATACAGAAATTGTTGCAAAATATCGGTGGAACAGGGCCTCTTTGTAATATTGTGTTGCAATAATGAAACCAGCCATCGCAATCCTGTTAGAGCTTAACACTGTCTGGTTTCTAAACAGGACACCATGAACTTCAATGTGTAAATAAGTATTTGTACCAAACATGACACTGTTAATAATGACAATTAAATTAAGAAAGCTAATGTACTCAATTAGCTTGTCTAACTTAGGTGAGTCAACTGACAAAACAAATACCTTCGAACCTAACACAGTACATGCTCTCTTCCTAATAACCACTTAAAGACACTTGGGTTCACGCATACTGCAAACCAACTCCATGGAGCACAGTTCTTCCTTGGAAGCTGATGGTCCTTTAGCTACTCAAGATCGTGTATGGAACGTGTAGTGTTAGCATGATCCTAATAGCTTGCAGCTGAACCGTATCTATGCCATGTCTTTCTCTTCTTGTGTTCATCCTCACATGTGCCTCTGTGCCCCCAAGTGGTCTCTTACCTTCAGTTGTTTCAACCACAATTTTGTGTGTTTCTCGTCTCTCCCGTGCTGGCTCCATGCTCCATCCACCTAATCTTATCAACAAACTCATTTCTGGGCAATTTGGATTAAATACAATATTACGGTGTTCATAATTTCAAGCTGTAAAAGGAATTACACATACAAATACCATGATCGGAAACTCTAAATGTGGGATCTAACCCTTTGAAACACGAAAGTCACCAAACAGTATTTAAAATTCAGTTCTTACTTACAAGAAAACACAGTGCACCTCCATGACAACAATAAATTGGTTGACGCTGTTTAAGGAAATAATCCCTGTTTATTCTGAGAATAATATGAAACCCATTAATACACTCTGTGATCAAAATGCAGAGTTACTGAATGCCAAAGGTTGGCTTTAAAGGGATAAAGGACTAACAGCATATATTTAAAACTAACAAGCTGAACTGTTATAATTATTTAAATTAAATTAACAATTTACTATAAATAATATAACCAGAATTTAGATAACTAGGCACCAACATATCAAAGTGGCATATAAGGAACTTTGTAGTTTGCAACGTGGCCTGTGCTCTGAAATGGTTGCACTAACAAATCAGTGAATTGAATGTCACTGTGTTTCAAAATACAACAAAACTAGACAGCACTGAATCTATTGCATGTATTTATTTACAGATTATTTACCGTCACTTTCAAATTAGGAATTAACACAAGTATCTACGGCAACCAGACCATCACAGTTTAAGGTGTGAGCAAAATAAAATTTTGTGGCCAGACAAGGGGGCAAATATGCCATGAGACTCACACACTCTTGACTTGTATTATTTGCATTTACTTGAAAATCTGAAGTACGCTGTGGACAAAACTGGCATAAATCATCAAGGACAGGTCATTAGAACAAGCAGTACCACAAATGTTCTGGACAGGAACAGGACACTTGCATAGTCTTCCTGAATTAATCTGAAAATATAATTTATCATGGTAAATAATAAACTTTCTAATCACTGCCTAATGGCACCAAAAAAAATACTCATTAGCTCTGGATGTTCGCTGAAAACATGTACAAACTGCACCAAGTTCATCATCATATCAATTGAACAGAACAGACGGTTATCAGACACAACCAAGACAGCGAGCATCCATCCTGTTTACATGCATCCATTACTAATCAACACAACAGCAGAGAACATTCATGCCAAAAGTTGAAATAACGCTGTCTCAGTCTGCCAACAGCATAAAAAAGCAGACCATGTGTTTGTGTGCAAAGTTACAAAATTATATAATTTTTAAATATGAATTTTCCAGCTACAGAATAAAACACTGTATGAATGCCTGTGACATGAGATTAAAAAAAATCACAAAGGGAAGACTTACATGTAGAAAATCTGATTGGACAGATCCGTTTATTTACTGGAAGAAAACGTGAAGTGAAAGTCAAAGCAACTGCAGTAAATGCCGAAGACTCGGGCTGTGATATTTTGTGCACATATCACAGTGACGAATAGTTAAGTCCCGTCTCCTTGCGCACACAAACTATGTTCAACAGCTGATACAGGGTATATTCTTAGTTACAATTTGTCACATTCTGAATATTTTAAAATTTAATTCTCACTACTTTATTCTTAATTTTAAACTAGAATTCTTTAAGCAAATGGCAATTATTATGGTGGCAAATTTATGTTCTGACTTTCCCTGTCATGGTGTCATCATGTCTCCAAGAAATGCGGAAACAAAACTTCATTCCTCACGGCTTACTAATCCAGCGGCTAAAACTGCCTCACTTACGAGAAGCTTAGCACAGAACACAACATGGACAGGTTATGGCTGTAATTTCGTGCGCTACTTTCGAACAAAGGTTTGACTCTTACTGTAGGGTTTCAGTATGATTTATCTGCCTGTAATCCTGATCACACGTACAGTGTACAGACATTTCTGATTAAATATGCCGGAAGCTTCGGGACTCTAAACCAATGCAGTCTTCAATGACGGAAGTATTACAATCAAGTTACACTGAAGCAGAGTTCCAGTTAGCAAATGGCAATACGTGTCGGAGTCATCTGCACGCGAGAGAGACGATTAGCGGTACATTTAACGTGAAAAGAAAAACTGAAAAGATACATGACACGATACCAACAAAAGGTTTTCATTCCACCAATCAGAATTAAAATTTCTCTCCAACAGCATCACAGGATTGTTTATTGTTTTGCTACAAGAAATTCACGTATTTAACTTTAAAAGAATTTAATATATCAACTGAAAAAGAAGTACTACTTTTTCACTGATAAAACTACAAATACAAGGAAATTAACATTTCCACTTAAGAACGTTCTTGAATGAATAAATCAGGTAATTAGTCCCTAAGCTTGCAGTTAATGAAGATGGACATTTTAAAGTATGAATTCATATCCGTCGTGGTCTAACACACAGAACTGAAAGCAAAATACCATCATTATAAAACAGCTTTGGAAGCTCAATTTATACAATATGCAATGTGTTGTCTCCATTGTGGACCACGCCTACAAGCGGTCCCTAAATGCAGTATATTACGTATCCGAGTCAACAATCCACATATCCTCGCAGATACTGTCACGACATTTCTTTGGGTCTTCCTGAACTTCTCTTCCCTCTAGACAAAATGTGCATAAAATAAAATTACAAATAAAGATCATCTGCACACAAGTTTTACTTCCCAACAGATATCACTGTCTAGGTACAGAATAATTACTTGTGAATAGTGTTGGCTCCTTTGTTTGAGAAGCTGCTGGAAAACAAATTATTGAGGTTACGTGCAACACGTTCTCGTTAAATAATGCTACGGAACAGAGAATAAAAAAACATTTGAAGCTGGCCTAATGGTTAAATTGAACATATTATTTTCCACTGGCCTGAAGAATGCAAAGAGGAACAAATGTTTCCATTTTTAAATTAGGCAAGCGTTTCTCCTATTACGGAAAAGAACGTTAAATATCTTTATAAAATTAAACTGAATAAAGCAGTGGTGGTTTCTGCTAAAGTTTATGTCGTTACGACAAATGGATAGAGAGATGAGAGTAAAGCGTAATGAGTTTGAAGACTTACAACACACCGTTACCATCATTACCTCATTCTTCTGGAAATATTTACTAAAATATGTCTGATGAAGCACTGAAATTAAATAAAGACGTAGCTACAACAGCTGAATTACAGCAGCTTGGTCCACACTAAAGGAAAAAAGTGGGCCTCGCCAATTGTAAAATGTTTCCTACTTCTTCACGTAAATGAGAAATGTTTCACACACACACACACACAGTCAGCAATTGTAAAATGTTTCCTACTTCTTCACGTAAATGAGAAATGTTTCACACACACACACACACAGTCAGTCTCTCTCTCTCTTGCTCACACACACCCACACATCAGCTATGTATCTACATATAAACAGCTGTACTCTACAAACTGAAGGCACTGATTGATGGCAAGTGTCGAGACACTCCCATTACTTCCTGAACCACCATCTTAATTTTAATTGGAATTTCTTTAAAATTTTAAATTGGCTAATGTACGTACGATTCGTATCTTTATTTTGTTACCCTGTCATAAAACCTACCGACATCAGCTTAATAACTTTTCCTGCATCTTTTATGATTGGTCCAATTTAGCACCACACATGGATTTCTTGTGTCCCTCACACTTCAGTTCCATCTTCACCCTCATCCTCAAACAAAGGACCTGACACAGATTCTACGTTCTTCTTTTTTGGTTTTGGTGGTGGTTTTGGAGGGACTTTGACCTCTCTACTGTGTCCATTAGGCAGAAAGCTTCCTGGTGGTGAGCCCACCAGAGAGTTTCTCTTGTTGGAAGTTCCTGGTTCTTCTTCACGTCGATTGAGACTTGCACCTTCTGGTACACTCCTTCCAGCCCAACTGTCCCTCTGCCTTCCTGAGCTAGGATCATTCACCTTATCTTGCTTTGAAGATCTGCTGGATGCTACAACTTGCGGAGCAAGGTTTGGACTCAGTGTCACATTAATGTTGGGTGTACTCCTCCTCAGACTCCCTCTCGTACCTGGATTTGCCGTGATCAGTGCAGGTGATGGCTGACCTTCTTGCTCCTCGATGGGTGCGTAATAGGCCGGCAGCGCACCGCTGTGGTAACCAGGTGTCGGAGGTAAGGGGCGGCTGCGGATGGAAGACGGCGCCTGGTTGGCAGGATCAGCACTTACACTTTTGTTGAGTGAGAGGACTGAGCTCCCATCTGCTGTGGTTCTTGGCCCCAGGTTATCATACACTGGTTCAAATTTGAACATTGAATCACCTCCCATTGGGGTTGGTGTCGGAGCGCTGCTCCACGAAGGAACTCGAGGACGTCGCGGAATGGTGACATAACCCTGGCGAGGAAGGACCACAGGAGAAAATGGAGACTGAGAGCGGGAGTAGGGCAAAGTTCCAGACATGCCAGGATGTGGGTGGTACACTGGGCTGTGAATTGGGGACTGGGGCCCATGCTGGGCTGGGAGACGTGTGCTGTCTGGTGCCGTGGAGGCCGTGCTTCCAGCAGGAGACACCTGACTCCCCCGCGAAGGGAAGGATAGCAAGTCGGGAGGGTACGCGCGCGCGTTCTCCGAGTGACCCGAGTCAGCATCCAGCCCATCCTGGGACTGCTGCTGCGGGACTGAATCCGTAGAGTCGACAGAGCGGTCCTCTAGGCGGTCGTCACTACTGACCACACTTCCACCTGCAACTGGGAAAGGAAACAGAACCCATGATCACATTTACCAGATACAGTGGAATACAATTCATCTCCTAAGGAAGCAGTCCCTCGTTTAATTGTTCCCAACTGTCCATGGCAAAGCTCAATGCAAATGGAAGTGAAATCACTGTGCTGTACGTAAGGAATTAAAATTATACACAGATCTAACCGAGTTAAAAAGATCCACGTTCCTACTATGAGTGAGAGTACTTGGAGAAGTATGTTTTGTCACTTGCATAATCTGCTGTACTCATATCTGAATCTGTTTCTGCTACAATTATAACTACTGTCCACACAATTAAATTCTAATAAGCAATGTATGATATCCATCTCTCTTCCGCAGCATGTATTTAGAAAAGAGTAATATTTTCAAAAGACTAGAAAGCGGACATGAGGAATAATTCCTTTGCTTTTTTGCCAAACTGCTTCAAAACAGAAATATTGTATTAATTGCAGTATTAAACCCAACTAAAGCTAATTCTGAAATCTCAGATATTACATGTTAGATAAAACTAACAGAATGCTCATTGGCCACACGAAAGTTCTTCTGACAGAATAAACAGGCGAAAAGGAACGTTGTCCGACTAAATGGATCAAGAACAAAATATGATTCCTGGGGGGAAAATGTTCACTGTATACACCAGTGGATCCCTCTGTGCGACATTTTAAGAGCTTCTAGGGCATTCTGGTTCACTGGTGTTAAGTTGCATACAGCACGCCTAATGAGAAAGGGGGGAAAATGTGCAACTAAACTTACTCTTTGTCACTATTCTAAAAAAAGTTCATGCAAATTAGAGGACTTGGATTTCAAGCTAAAACAATTTTAACAATACAGCAGCTTCAATGAGTTATAACGCCTGGAACGCGGTGCAATTTCAAAGGAGAACAAACTGAGAATTTGGATACAATTGCACAGCGAGTCATGGCACTGCCTGGCCATAATTTATTTTGTAGTATATATAAAGATACAATCAGCAGCTGTGAATACAATGCCAAAATTTTGGGTGATCAATAACCAGTGAATTAGAAAGGAGATGGTACGAATCCGTCAAAGCCTAATTTAAGGCGCTATCCCGGCATCGGCGTAGAGAGACTGATAGAACTTTAGAGTAAACCGCTAAAATTTTCCAAAAAGCTTCTCAAGTCCAACGGACATCAGGAGTCGCTTGACTACCGAAACACTACAGAATTATGCGTGCGCATTGTGTTAGGTACTTACGCAACACAGATCCATTGTCAAGCAAGTTACATTTCATGTCAGTAAGCTCTGTCCCAGAGCTAGTCACAGACGGCCTCTCGTGTCGCCGGGGTGGTTTCTGCACCGGGTTCACTTTGGTCAGCAGACTCTTCTCCTGTTCACTCATCTCCGCATATCCGCTGATGTCACCATTAGAAGACAGCATTCCATCACTGGGTGCCTTCTTGGTGTTACAATTATTGTTTCTGCTTCTGCGATGCCTACAGTAACAGTACGACAGCGACAGCACGATGATGATGATGACCAGCATCCCGATCACCAATCCAGCGTACAGTGGCCATGCCTCTGAAATTCCTCCACTGCCTCCTGCCACCATTACAGTACCTCGCTGATAGTTTACCACGAGGGACACGTTTCTCTCGACAACCCCACCGCCACTTTTTGCAACACACGTGTAATCACCGCGATCTTGGTTACGGACATTTGTCACCGTTAGGTTCACCCAGCGAGTCTTATCGGTGCTCTCCGTTACTACGTACCTCTGATCGCCGTACATTCTCCTCGAATAGTTACCGATTATCCTAGAATTGAATACCCAGTGCACGTCAGGCATTGGGTTTCCGTTAACCTGGCACGTCAAAGTGACATTGCCACCGTCAACTTCAATGGATGTGCCAAAAGTAGGGTACACTATCTGAGGTTTGCAGGCAAGATCATTGGAACTTAGATCACTCCACTGTTTGCCATGGAGTACAGGTGGTTCAGCACATGCAGTCGGTTGGGCATACAAATTGCGCGCTATTGTCCAATCTCTGAACTCTTTGAGGTGACAGTCACAGACCCAAGGGTTGTGGTGAAGAACGAGGCCACCGAGAATGTTAAGAGGCTCCAGAGTCTCCACTTTCATCGTTGTCAAGTTATTTCCATCTAGAGCTAGTGACTTGAGATTTGGGGTGTTCACAAATGTCTTGCGTCCGATATGCGACAGGTGACACCCGCTCAGATCCACAGTCTGAAGGTAAGTCATGTCACTAAAAAGGCCATCTTCAAGCTTTTCAATTGGGTTGCGGCTGAGGTATAAGACTCTAAGGCGGACATTATTGCGGAATATACCGGGATGTAGCGTATGAATCTGATTTCCTGACAAATCTAATTCGATAAGAATGGCGAGCCCATGGAATGCTTCTTTGTGAAGTTCTTGAATGCCACAGTCTCGCAGATACAGCTTGTGCAGATTGACGAGTTTAACTCTGTCGAAGGCTTTCATCGGCAGTTCACGCAGGGCGCTGCCCGCGAGGTCCAAGATCTGGATGTCGGGACTCAGACCGTCAGGAACTGAAGTCAGGCTGGAGTTGGTGCATTCCGCTGCTTTGCGACCTGACACCCATTTGCACTTGCAAAACTGTGGGCACTTGGTCCAGTCTGTATCAGCCCACGTGGTCATGAGGAGCGCCACAAACAGCGCAAGACAGTGCCACCCGAGAGCCATCATGTTATAAGCAGTGCATCATGCCCACCCTGAAACACAACAAGCAACACACCACATTAAAGCCCTTTCAACCAATCAAGAAATTTCTACCAAATGTCGGGGAGGCTTTGAAATTAGGACGTGCTGGGTCTAAATCTTGGCTCTGGGGAGTCTTTCCATGGTTTACCTCAGTCAATCCAGGAACATATGGTCTCGTCTCTTCAGGCTTACCAATAAATATCTGTATGCATTTTCTCATATTACCCACGCCCCAGAGACTCTTCTCATTATCCACTTTCTTCTCCGCTAGGTCTAATGTCCCCATCAGCACCTGCTCTTCGACAAACTGGACACTCCTCACATTTTTATCAGAACGTCTGTAAATATTCCCAAAAGGTCAACTTGTCGTCTACTTGACAAAGAGACGAAGCCCCACGGGAGTTAGAAGACAAATAACCCACGCGACCAAAGAGAAGTTTGTGGCTGTCAGGACAATATCGGCGATGTTTAGGCCTGGACGTGTCTGAAACGATCAGCGTCTTCTGGGGTGTTGCGCCTTGGTACAATTTTATCGACGTTTCAGAGATGCTTGCTGCATCCATCATTGGGGTGATAAACTGCATTTGAGGAGGAGCAAACTGATCTTTTAATGAAGGTCTGTGGTTTAGCTCAGCGGTTCTCGAGTTAAAACCGGTCGATGCCGACTCTTACGAACACTGACGAACATTCAGAATTTCTTGAACATACCCGCGATTACCAACTTCTCAGGATGACTCTGGTCAACGGAGTTTGTGCTGTTATTAAACGACACTTTATCACCAGAAATTTTGCCATTACGTATGGAATAATGGAAGAGTCTGATGACAAAACGACAGTAACTTGTTTCATCAAAGTATCCGGTGTGTGTGGGGGGCGGGGGGGGGCGGTGCACTCATGGATATTGTAACAGTGTATCTCCACATTCACACATGAGACGCGCTACCGCTAATATACCCCACTCGGTGTCTGGTATACCGGATCTAATTTCCATGTAACCGCGAGGGAGTGAAGTGACTCTGCTCTGTCCATGCGAACAAACCAATTGAGGGCACGTGTACTCTGCCCTACGCCTCATTAGAAGGCTCAGCGCGTTGTGATTTCAAAGGCGTTGTCTAATGAGTTCCACAGAGGAGCTGTGAAACAGCGAGTTTAATTATATTTAAAAGTGGAGTACATCACACAATTCTTGCATTTCCACTGAATACCGACACTTCAAACGCAGAGCCACTCAGCCCTCTATTTGCTACAGCCAACGCACCTAAGTTCAGTTTATAGGTTAAGTTGCGTCCTCCGCTAGTGCTCCCCCCCTCCCCGAAGCCCAGCCAGCGCAAACACGCTTTGTGCAACCTACAGACAGAAATCGCTTTATGCATTAAACGACTGGCTAGCGACAACGCATCAGGCCAAACTCTTGCCTAGAATGCGTACGACGACGACGACCACAGAGTTTTTGTTTCCCGTTCGCAGAAACGCAAATGTTAAGCAACGGCGAGCCCACGGGAAACGTAAGAATTCTGTATAATGACAAGCCTCTTACCTCCCTTTTCACTTTCGATTGCCGTCATTGACGTTCTTATTCAAAAACAACCCTCACGACTGGAAACGGAGAGTCACTTGAACCACAACAACTTCACTGTATGCGTCACATGACTACCAACCCACTGTACCTCACGTCCTTACAATTGCCAACACGCTCGACAGAAAGTCCCTCTTCACTTTTGAATCAAACTGAGCGCGGTCAGGGAAGGGTTGCGGGAGGGGAGGGGTGAGTATACATCAGGGTTGAAAAGTTCTGGCTTAACCTGACACTGCGGGACACCTCAAGCCGAACGCTGATGGGGTTGCAACACGCAGTACAGCTATCTCAGCCGATAGTGTGTTTGATATCTTCGGCTTTTTAAGGTGTTTGACGAGCACTGTGCCTTGGAGCTAAACCGGTTCAAGTCGAACGAAAACAAATTATAGAAGACTCTCGTTACAAGAGTTTCTTGCAGTGTAAAAATTACTTTAAAATATGAGGGTTATCGCATCAATGAAGCTGAGATAGGCCTGACATGAAGACGAGTAAAGCAAATGTTAAATTCGGAAAACCTGGACACGTACGCGTAAATGGGAGGATAATACTAATATGGATCTTCACGAAAAAGGGTGCGCACTGGACTCAGCTGGCTCAGGATTGGCTCCAGTGGTGGGATTCTGTGGATAAGGTACTGAATCTCGGGGTCCCATAAACACGTCAACCAGCTGATCTTCGTAATGGTGAAGTGTAGTGTTTTCTTCGCGGTACGGACTGATTTATTAAATAATATTTAGAGGAGCTTCGGCTTCAAAGGGTTAAATATTTGTGAATTGAATTGAATTGAATACAGTCACTTCTAGAAATAAAACAGAACCACGAAGCCTTCACTGGTACTCCGTTTCCAGATGCAGAGGGAAATGTTACTTAATTACGCCCGTGACAACACACAGCGAGCAAAAGTAAAACCTCTAATTATCTACAGCACAAAAGAGAACGAAGTAAGAGACGACCATATTATTTCACAAATAAATTAGTCTCCAGGGAGGTGCCATATCTGAGGGAAATTCTCGTCTTGTTTGCAACAGAAGCAAGACATTTCTCAGGCTGAAAAGAAGTTTAATTCCTTACACATACGCAACCTTCCCCAAACAATAAAATTCACCTGCCACCCACATACGTGAAGAAAAGATTGTGCGTGAAGCATTTACTTCGGAAAATGTGTACGTAAACTCCCGCTAAGCCAGGGGTTTGTAACCTTCCCAGACCTGAATCCGCGTTTTCAACGACTCGCTGGCCACCGATTAAAAAAAAAAACGAGGGCATTTTATTGAACTTTCGTGGTGATTTGCAAAACGACAGGTCCTCATACAGATGGGACCGCCTTGATGAAGGCAGCATACACCTCCGAATTGCTGGTCAATTTCTACCAGACTACACGGCGCAAGATTGCCACAACAGCCATCTTCAAGACCTGAAATTACTCAGTATTTTAGCCTCCGAAAAAATAATTCACCAGTCACATATTTGACGCAGTTTTTCGCTCTACTAATCTTTCAGAACCCAGGTTCTTATCTTCTGTTGCCGTGGTCCGTATGCGATCTTCCAAGTGTTCATAAATAATCCGCGTCCTAATCATTTATTGAACATTCTTAATCACACTGAACAATTTGGTCATCGAATGTTACTGCTAAATACCAACTGTATTAATAAAACGTCTTGTAAAAGGCGAAACATTGTCATTTTCTAGAATAACACAGCAGAAAATCATCGTCGGGCCGCAGGGTACACCCCCTCCCCCCCCCCAC